GAAACACAAAAAACCCAAAAAAACAACAAACAGGGAAGGAGAAAAAAAAAACCCAAAAGCAAAAAACCACAAAAAACGAATTTGAATCACTGTAATGTTGAAAGGCTTTCCTTGCACTCGAATTGAGATCATTCTGTCATTTTTTGGGTTGTATCCAAGCACCGCTTTAGCGAATTTCTTATTAATTATGAAGGCTACTCCATTTCTTCGCTGTTCCTCTTGTCCGCAGTAGTAGATCTGGTGGTCATCTGATGTGAAGTGGCCCATTCCAGTCCATTTCAGTTCGCTGACCCCCAGAATGTCTATCTTTAGTCTTGACATCTCACCAATAACAACATCCAATTTGCCCTGGCTCATAGATCTTACATTCCAGGTTCCTATGGTGTGTTGATCTTTAGAGCATCAGATTCGTCGTTCACCTCCAGTACCGTCGGCCGCTAGCCTTCCTTTCGGCTTTGAGCTAGCTGCGTCATCACATCTGGGGCTAGTTGAACTTATCCTCTGCTCCTCCCCAGTAGCATTTTGGCCATCTTCCGACCTGGGAGTCCCATCTTCCAATGGCATACCGACATATCTCTGGTTGTACTGGTCCATTTAGTTTTCTTGGCAAGGATACTGGAGTGGTTTGCCATTGCCTTCCCCAGGGATCACGCTTGGTCTGACCTCTCTGCCACAACCGTCCTGTCTTGGGTGTCCCTTCACGGTTTCGCTCATGACATCATTGAGGTGCTCAAGCTCCAGCGCCCCGACAAGGCGGTGATCCTTTGCTGGAGCATAATAATAATACATGTGTAAAAAATTCACCTTTTTAGGTGGAAACTCTCTAGTCATTTTAAAGCCATATTTTATACTCTTCATTTTAAAAGCTATCAGAATATCCTGGCTATGTGTGGAGAGAAGGGATCTAACAGCTGTAGGTCCAAAGGTGATCTGAAAAAGAAGGTTCACTTACATCTCTCTAGAAACAGATCGTGGTATAATTCCAAATGGCATGGAAAAGATGAAAATTTATTTCTTGCTTCTCCAAAAAGCGGGCAAGACCTTGACCAAACAGCTCTGCTTCTCCCATATTCATGTGATTTTTTGATTAACTGTCTTGACAACGTCACTGACAAATTCTTTAAAAATGGATCTTTCCATTATTTGGGACCTGAGAACAAGCAATACCTCCCTCAGTGAAGCTCAAATGCTTTTCCAGATACCTGGAAGTTCTGACAAACTGAAGTGCAATAATAAATGTTTCAAATGAACAGATACTACTCAGCACCACACAAATGTATAGTTGAATAGTCTTTTTTAATCAAACTAGAGAGCTGCATACAAAAAATCTGCACATCTCCCCATCTATTTCTTGATCCTCATCCCTGCCACCACCCCTCAATAGATGGTCAACACTTGGATGGATTTGGCTCAATATGGCTACAATCACGGCACGGACAACGCTGGAAAAGAACAAACATGGAAGAGGAAAAACAATCCATCCAGCACAGGACTCAAATTTCCAACCTACAGGCAGACTGAACTGAGATTAAAAGCTATGATGTTCCCTATTTCCCACCCCCACCCCCATATGCCCCATGGTTACCATGACATTGTAACACTACTGCAATAGACCCCACTCCCTTTAACATTCCAAAAGAGAAGCTACAGGCTGTAGAACTTCAGGCTTCTGTCCATGCCTGTCGAAGCAAGGAACTTGGCATGATGGCCAAAGGCGACTCCTGTTGTCAAGCCGCTATGCTCTGCAGAAAGGAGATGAGACAGTTAGGAAAGAGACAAACACAAAAGAACCCAACCCTCAGGCAAATATTATCAACCACTAGTTCCAATAAAGGTCCTCTCAGGAATGTCACAAAGAGCACTTCTCCCTTACCTGTAAAATGGAGAACCTCTGTCCACTGCTTACAGATGTATACCTGGACATCAGTGCCACCCAGGGCCAGGTATGTGCCGCTCTGATCGAATATGAGAGACTTCACCTAAAGAGAAGACATTTTTGAGATGAAGATATTCAGATGTAGGTGAAAGCATCTGCAGCGTGCAGCCACCTCTGCCCTCATACCTGGGTCAATAGCTAAAAATTGCTCAGCTAACAATCAAGAAGGTACTCAATCACAAGGATCCAAAGCAGGGTAAAGGACCCAAGATACAAACCTGTGCAGATTCCAAAGGCTTTATGCAAACCAAAGAGAGGATGGGACCCCAGGATAGTGGTGCAAGTAACATCACACAAACCTCAAAATTATTGTCCAACTGCAGCGTCTTGAAGTTCTTTAGTTTGCGCAGATCCCAGAGTTTGACAGAGGAGTCATCAGCAGCAGTGGCCAAGTAGTAGCCGTTCTCCGAGAAGGCAATGCTGGTAATAGGGCCTGAATGTCCAGGGAAGTTTGCTACATTGGTCCGTTCCTGAAAAAGTCAGTCACCTCCATTAGATGCAATAAGCCTACCAAACTTTTGAAATTATGTACAACTTGCAGTCACGATACCTTGTTGCACTGGAGAGTGCACATAATTAATAAAATCTCCTTTGACATTTACCCTTGATTCACCTCTGACTGTGCAAAGGAGGTTGCTAGCATTCTATAATTCTCCCTCTTGCCCAGAGTGGGTAACACACAGCAGGGTTTCACTTTGTGTGAAACAGCAAAGCTGCAGCCAATAGCACATAAAACAATTGTATCTAGTGGCCTAGAGGCTGCAGCTGACAGTTAAAAAGTAGTGTCAACATCTTTTTCAATTGAAGAATACAATAGCAAGTATTCTTGCAGTAGCTCTTGTGTATTCTCTTTCCATATGGCAGTATAAACTACACTCTAAACCAGAGCTTTCCTAACTGTGTGTTGGTCGCAACACAAGGATGTGTTAGCTGTTGTCTGCCAGTGTCCCACATTAAAAAATGCTCCCCATCCCACAAGTCAAAATGCACATTGGTCATCCCTAGAAGACCCAGCGGGAGCAGCAACAGTAGCCACTTGGGCTGCTCCAAGCCCGAGGCCCCACAATCACCATCTTCTCATCCTCCTCGGCTCACCACAGTGCAGGAATGGGGGGGGGGGGGAGACTCCCAAAGGTGGTTGTCATCTAGTGCAACTCCCTTCCATCAGGCAGGAAGTCACAGTCAAAGCACTCATGTATGGCCATCCTGCTTGTTTAAAAACCTCCAGAGATGTTTCATCACTAAAGAAGTGAAACACTGGTGTAGTTTAAGTGTGGGTACTGCTATAACTTTTATAATTTGCACAATTTATTGATTGAATTGCAGTAATTACCACTAAAATGGATTAGCTTCTAATTAAAAGAAAATCTGTTGACTATTATGTTTGCGATGAACCACACAGAGCGGCTATACAGGAAGCTACACACAAAACAAGTTTAGTACATAAGTGTAAAGGAAAAATGTCCAAACCTTGCTTATACAGTAAAGATATGAAATACACACACACACACACACATTAATGTCTGTAATCCTTACAACCAAAGTTGTAGAACAGTTTAAGAACCTGCATGTGTTTCCTCTTACCTTCAAGTCCCAGATCTTAATCTGAGAGTCCATAGTTCCAGTCCCAAAAATGAGCCCATCAGGATGGAACTGTGCACAGGTGAGAGCTGCAAAGAGAGATAACACTGGATCACCACAGTGCTGAGAAGCAGAATACAGAATCTGACTCAGCATGAACCACTAACACATTGAATTCTGCACTCTCTCATTTATCTCTCACAAAGCACCAAATTTAGATACGAAATGCAGAATCCTTACCACAGCCAGAGGTTTCATCTGTGACCTTGGTGAGAACACGGCCAGTCTGGATATCAGAGAAAGCCCAATACTGAAAGAGAGGATAGGCTGGGTTTTAGGTTTATGTAGGCCTCCTTGCCAAAATCTGTTCAAGCAATTTTTGACTTATTTCAGTGTTGACCTCTTTGACTTTTTAAAATGCTAATATTTGTTTTCTTCACTTTCTTTATTTTATTGCAATTTCCTATCTCTGGTGTGAGAGAAGCTTGGAAAGTATTTTTTTAAGAAGCAAGGCAGGATGGAATAAAAATTAAATAAGCAGTAATCTTCCCTCTCATTTTGCAGGGAACACTGATATACTGTATGTACAATAAAATGAAAAAAGAAAGTGGCAATCCCCCATCCATTTCCAGGTGCTCTTCTTTAATATATCCTGAGCACCATGAGTTTAATAATGACACAGTCTGAACCTGTGGTTCCAATCTCACCTGGTCATCAGAAGAGCTCAGCAGGTAATCTCCTGTTGCATGGAGACTCAGCCCTGTCACAGCACTCTCATGGGCACGCACAACCTGCACGCATGACACACCAGGGACTGACCAGATCCGGATAGTAGCATCTGGAGAAGCGGAGAACACTAGTTCCTAAAGGAGGAAGAGAAGACAGTCAGCCCGAGAATTAGAATGAAGCCAGGTGTATTTCTACGGAATTCAGAAGCAAAATAGCACCCACGACCTAAAGCCATTTCAAAGGACAACACACAAATTGATTCTCTCCGGAAATTATTTGAGAGAAGTAAAGGGACAAACAGTCAAAGATACCATGCACACAGAGTAAGTATTAGCCAATGCTGGTTAATAAACTATGGTCCCTACCTGGGATGGATGGAACACTACGCTGGTGACCTTTTTAGTGTGGCCTTTAAGAGTTGCCAGGATCTGTTCTGAGCTCTTGTCAAAGACAACAACATTTTTGTCCGCTCCACCTGGAAAACAAAGCAGGAACAGAGCATTCAAGAACCAAGAAAGGACCTGTATGCTTTCAGTCCTTGTGGTCTAATGGCAAAATACAGCCAGGAATCTGGTCCTGACTCATGCAGATGCAAGTGCCCCTTATGCCATGGTAAACACTTCCTGAAGCAGTGGATAACAACCTTTAGAGAAGGCAGGAAACAACTGCAAGAAAAGGAAGCTGCTTCAGAACCAGAAGAGTAGCTTTATCCTAACTGACACACCTCTCACTGCAGGCTGTTCCACTCACACTTCCTACCACCCAAACACCTTCAGCTGCATTATCTTTGCTACCTTCAGGGCCAGTACTAACTAATCAGACCACTTTCTCTGTTTCACAGCATCCAGAAAAAAAGGAGAGGCTGAATGTGGAATAATGTCATCCTTGGCCTGTAAAACACCAAACCTGACCAATTCTGAGGATGTGTAGGCAACGTTTTGAAAATACTTCACTTATTAATGGATGAAGACGGACAATTTCACCATGTCCTGTCTCATCCCTGACCCCACCAGCTGCATTGGAGTAAAGGCTTGATATTTAAGAAGAGAAGCAATTTTTGGCTTACTTCCTAGTTTCGGACCTTAAACACCTGGGGCAGAGGAGAGATGATTTTTAAAAAGTCTCTCATAATATATAGAAAGAGGGGGCGGGGGGCGGACATTTGAGCTTATGTGTTTACGTTTTAGAAAATTCAGTAGCAGGGAGCAATGGGGAACCTGACCGTTCTAATTCTGACAAGGGGCAATTTCTTTTTTGCCAAATCTTAGGTTATCAGGCCATCTGTGAGTGAAATTCAATTGTGGGCCCATGCAGGAGAGAGCCTGACTATAATCATCAAAGGTTTGGAAACCATGCCCTTTGAAGAGTGGCTTAAATAGTCGGGTATGTTTAACCTGCAGAAGAGAGGGGTGAGAGGAGACATGATAGCCATGTTCAAATATCTGAAAAGATGTAATAAAGAAAAGAGAGCAGGTTTTTTTTCTGCTGGACTCTGAGGAATGGGTTCAAATTACAGCAAAGGAGATTCCACCTGAACATTAGGAAGAACTACTTGACTATAAGAGCTGTTCAGCAGTGGAACTCTCTGCCTCAGAGTGTTGTGGAAGCTCCTTCCTTGGAAGCTTTTGGACATCTGTCTGGGGTGCTTTGATTAGGCTATTCCTGAATGGCAGGAGACTGGATTGGATGGCCCATGTGGTCTCTTCCAATTCTATATTCTATGATTAAACATCAGAGTGAATTTGGTAAATTCATGGAAATCCCATTGATTCACAGGACCTATTTTAGATGGCTCTAAGAGAATTTCCCCCAAAATATGGGGGGAAGGTTGCTGCTGTCCCAGACTATTGTTCTTTCCATCTAATCATGGAGTAAACAGAAGAGGTGTTTTCCACAGAGACCATAGGTCCAAACAGCTGAAATTAGACCAAGAAAGAGATACTCCAGAAAGTCGTTGATCAAGAAGTCTACACATACCTGTGAGGATCTTGTTGGTGTCGGAAGGACATAAGTCGAGAGCCAGGATACCAGGGATGCTGGCACTGTGTAGTCCCTGTTCAAAAGCAACAGTGTTGGCATTAGTACTAGCAAGCTTGACAAGAGAAACTCTGCTGCTTAATGTCATCATTAAGGGAAGAGAAGCTCTTACAAAAAGGGGTTTATCTAGGCAGTTAGCTTTATCTCTTTCTTGCCCCTAAAAGAACAAGCTTTTTTTTTTTTACTTGGCAAGAATTTGAAAGAGATATATCACTGAATACTCGTCTGCAGTCTCATGCAATCCCCAACCCCTGCAAGAAAACCATTAGGAATCCTAGTATCAAAGCAAGGTCATGACACCTTCCCCCAATAATGAAGTAGTGTAAGCAAATGTGAAGTGATTTCACAACTAAGGACCATGGGAGAAAGTCACCAAAACTGTAACCTTGGACAAAGAAACATCAATGTACTCATGGTTGATTGGGTTGCTCTAGCAAAGAGGACCATGGCCCTGAGTCCCTTTGGGGAGAGGGGGAGAGATGTAAATAAAGTATTACTTGAAACAGAACAAGATTAGTACACAGCAAACAAGATCACTTTGCTTGCTGTTATATTGGATCACACATCAGACACTTCCCAAGCGTCTAGGACTGTGTGATGTATTGGAGATTATTATTATTATTATTATTATTATTATTATTATTATTATGCAATATTTAAGTACAGCAGTTGCTAACTTGGAAGTCTCATATAACGTCACTTTAAATCTAAGATTTTTTTTCTGTGTCAGAAGTGACTTGAGAAACTGCAAGTCAATTCTGGTGTGAGAGAATTAGCTGTCTGCAAGGACGTTACCCAGGGGCACCCGGATGTTTTACCATCCTTGTGCGAGACTTCTCTCATGTCCCCGCATGGGGCGCTGGAGCTGATAGAGGGAGCTCCAGCGGATTCGAACCTCCAACCTGTCAGTCTTCAGTACTGCAGGCACAAGGGTTTAACCCATTGTGCCACCGGGGGCTCCAAATCAAGATGACTTGACAGCTACGATGGAAAAGGCTGAGCAAGCCTGAGTAGAACCAGACAATCAGTAGATTATGGGATGTTGTGAAAGCCTATGGCGGGGGACGCATTAAAACCTAGAAGCATCCTAGAGCAGTGAATGAAGATCCTTGGGGTAAAAGAGTATGATGAGTAATAGGAACTGAAGGGGTGGAACTCTGGGACCAATCTGGCCATGGATCCCACCAGAACAGCACAACACAAAACAGGTTTCCAGATCATGGTCACCATTTACTCACCACATGTGAGGCCACCTGGCGGTATCTGCTTAGTTCTTCTGGCTTTACCAGTTCCTCTGGCACAGTCTTTCCTCTCTGTCAGAAGGATAAGACAATATTCAGTCTTAGAGTCCGATCAGCTCAGTACACTAAGCTGCAACTCTGTAGTTTTCATTAAAACAAAGTACCTACACACAAATGAACACCCCAGAATCACTTGACACTCTCTTTCTGGACGATAAGTTTTTTAAAGAAGCACTCACCTTTTTACGCTCCGTGGTCAACACTGTGGCTTTGTCTTGAAGCTGCAAGAGAGAACAGCATTAGAAGAAGCCAATTCAAAAATTAGTATTTTAGCAGACAGGTGGTAACGTTAGGTAGAAAGGCAGAATACTGTAGAAATGTCAGAAATGTTTTTATAAACATAGCCAACTTAAGGCAATCTATGGAGAAAGAACTGGATGGAAAATCCTGAGCCATAGGTTTTTGTACCTTCTGGATAATTTCTGGAGTCATTCCTGCCAGCTCTCCTAGATCCATTGGTTCACCAGCCCCCTAAAAATGGAAAGGAGCCTGTTAGTCCAGATAAAAAGAAGGAGAAAATGAAGCAAGGGCTCAACAGAAACATACTTGTAACTTACCACTGCATTGGGCTGTGCTGAAGGTACAGCCTGGGGAACAATGAGACCAGCCTGGGGCTTCAGAGTTGCCAAAGCTGTGAAGGAACACACAACATAATTTGGATGGTTAAAAAGACAGCTGTCACAACAAACTCCTTTCTCTGCAAATTACCCAAAAAGCATACCATCCATTGAGGTTTTACCTTCTCTCGCAGCAGTGACTTCTTTGGTGAGACGGGCAATGACACGGCAAGCAGCATCATGCTGGTAGAGGGCATGAGACAGTTCCTGGCGGGTGGTCTGCAGCTGCTGGCGCAGGGTGAAACTGTGGAGCATGACAGCATCCTGAAACAGGTAATTAGTATATTAGTGTATTTACAGTACACTGGTCATGTTCCCACATTAAAATTATCTATCAGGATTCATCATCAAATAGTATGCTTGTTTAAGCAGCACAATTACTTTTTTGTTCTCATGTTTGGACAAATGGAACAGAAACTAGAAGCTGAAACCTTCATGTGATTATCTGGACGTGGAATTCCGAGTTATTTTTTAATATAACAGAACGTACAAGCTGACACTAAATTCTCAATTCTTGTTACATTACAGACCCTGGCTTAATGACTATCCTGCTCATGTGACACGGAGAACCAAAGCAAATGAGCTGCAGGAATGATCACGTGTTGCTCACATTATATCAAGCCAGGATAATGATCCTGGTTTATTATGAATAAATGTGGCCACCTGACAAGCAGATCATATTTCGCTAAAGTTGGAGTTGTTTCTTTAACATTTGCATAGTAAGACAATCAATTTTACTTTAGAGACAAGCTACTCCTAATCCAGGAGCTTCCTTCCTTGCTACTGAAGTTTCCCAACTCAGTAGGGTCTTACTTTCTATCACTCTAAGCAAATCAGGAGCTCAGCACACCTGAAGCTAAGGAGAAGTGGTTTAAGGCATAGAGAACTTTTCAGTTACTTCATTTTTGTAAATAGAGAAAGGGGTTTTGCCACATAATACTGAAGGGATAAAAAGAAAAATACTCACCCATTCATCCTGAAGTGCTTTAAGGATGGCTGGGATACTAGTGGCAGATGGTGGCTTAGGCCGAATTGGGTGGGCAACTGTAAGTGACATGCAAAGGAAAGTATTAGAAATAATTCTCCACATCAATTTTCTTGTTTCATAAGCCTACCACAAGACTGTTAAGAGCAGAATGCCTGACACATACTAGGATCTTGTAAGCCAATTAGCACCACCTACTGTTGCAGTGAACACTTGTCCCTATCAACTCCTTTCATACTAGGCAGGCAGGATACAAATCAAACAGAGGGAGCAAAAGGATAAAATGCAGAGCTGGGTGCATATGAACCTTTAAAAAGGTGGTAAGAGGATGCAGGCAGAAAGGAAGAAAAATAGCTAAAGTTTCTAAAGAGGGAAGAGAATTTGATATGGCTCTGGACCAAGAATACCATTAAGTCCGGTGAAGGACCTCTGGACCAAGAATACCACAAAGTCACACTGGATAACCTAGGAAATGCCTAGATGGTTTGTCGAATGTGGATAAATGAAATGACGGATATTGGTCCAACTGATATGTGGGTCATACTGTTTTTTGAAACAATGAAACAAAGGATATTGTCTTATAAAGTTTTGGTTTAAGTAGCTTTCTGTATTTATGCTTCCACTAGGCATCAGGTTTCAAATATTCACTCCAAGTCTTCAGGGGGGGAAAGTAAGATCAAGAATTCCATATTCCACATATCAAATCCATGAGAGACTTGATTCTAGTTTTTGTGGCTCTCTTCACCTTTGATATCTATGAGCTGTTCTTCAGACAGTGGCTGGTTGTTCACTGGATCAGTTCCATTCTCTGCAATATACTTTTCAATCAGTCTTCGCTCATAAACATGGTTTGAGACTGGAGATACACAGGGATGCTCAGGCACCTCATTTGAAACTGCAAGAAAAAGAAAATACAGCTAACAACAGACAAGTCACATAGAAGACCACATCTGTCACAGTAGTTTCAGAGAGATGAAAATATTAATGTGCCATAGAAAATCTAACATTGCAATTCACAAGAACTCAAAGTAAACACACACTGATGTCCAATAACCTTTCAATGCACATGATATTCAATTGTCTGCCATATATACTTGTATAAAAACATGAGCTTGAAGTCTTACTCACAAAACTAAACTTACTTCCAAATTATTTTGGTTTTCGCATTCTGGGAACAACTGTATAAACCCTGAAAAATATCTTTCATGAATGTAATCACATGCTGCTTGTTAATCCTCACATAAACAGACATGATTCCCAACACTATGGACTAAATTGGACAACTTTCCAGACAATCTGGAAGGAGCCTTCTCCAGATCCTGGCATTAGGAAAATCACATCCTCACTTTGTGCACTGAAGCATGAATAAGCCTTCAACCGGACTGAACAAAATGCCTATTAAAATATCCTTTTCAGATGTCTGGACATCTACCAAACATACACTAGACATACCATAAATCTCTACATTAATATATTTTTGACTGAATGTTAATGTAATTGTTGAAATGAGTGGGTCTTTAGTCACAATGATCTGTTATGATGTCAACTGGACTTGAACTAACTTACTCTGGCTCAATTGGATGTCTAAAATACATTATTTAATGCAGTAGGTTTCAAAGTAAGTTCCAAGAAAGTCCTAAGGCACCTTGGAAAACTATCAGCGGTGCCTCAAAGCAAAGATGATTGATTAGGGCATTAATTAGGGTATTTAGGGTAAATATTATAAAGGCACGAGCTCTGAGCTTGGAAACTGAGGAGGATCCGCCCTGATTAGCACTTGGCTTGAAGACCACAAATGAATACCAGGTACTTTAGGATAGGCAATATTTCAGAGGAAGGGACTGCTGAAATCATCTGAATAATCCTTGCCTAGGAAAATCCTTTACTGTATATGAATAATCAAAAACAAGAGAAAAGCTATTCCCTATTTTCACTATCACGAAACAATTGCTTTTGATATTTGCCACGCTGTATCTGTACAGTGCAGAGTTGTGATTAGCAAACACTTCAGATTGTCATAATCACAAAAGAGAATACACTACCTGACTGAAGCAATTTACAAAGGCTGCAGTCTTAAGAGACATATGTAATGTTTGTAATTACACCCACAGATTATTCTTATAGCCTCAAAACGCAGTATTTGAAGCACAATCACATATTGGAACATTTCCCCAATTATAGATACATTCAGGACAGCCTAGACTGCAACTGAAAGATTATTTTTTCAGCTCAGCAAGCCTGTTTTCTAGATCCACTCAGCTGGAACTGAAGATATAGTAGTGAACATAACATCTGTGCTACTTCACTGTACTTGCTAATTTTGCATAACTCCACAGCTTCGTGGCATATTTTATTCCTTCTTTAGCAACACATAGAGATGATCACTAGGTTTTCAGTATGGTCTGCAAAGAATCTATTTAACTTAAAGAAATGTATAAAGATACACAGTTCGGAAATCTTAAAACTTATGTTTCATCATGGGATCTTTTAAGGGACGACATACAGTACAAGGTAAGAAATTATAATAAGGCTTTCATGATCAGATGGTAAAGTTATAAATTTAATTGGGACAGTTATACATTTAAACAGAATCTAAAATAAAAAATAGGTGCATTCCTGAAGACGTATTTCACAAAACATTATCATAAAAAGGCATTTCCATTATGGCAATCACCTGAGAGTAAAGTCTGATGAACAGGCTCATTAAGATGGGAAATCAAAAGCTGATGCAAGTTGAAAAGAAAAAAATAATGCCTACATAATCTTGAGATCCTTGTCATATTGCATGCTTTAAATTTCAGTAAGATCAGTTTATAACTCATTCAGATCAAATGTGTTCTAGTAACTGTTGAGCTTTGTTTTGAGATAAAGGAGGTTCACACAATCTATTTACACACAATGAATGCAGGGGGCCCATAGGCTATTCTTACACGTAACTATCACCAGGTAATATTGCCACACATCCCTGAATAGCTATTTGAGGTTCATTTGAAGGCAATGGTCCTTCCTCATATATTGGAGCTTTTTGATGAACAACAGATATTTAATAAGGGCATATGAAAACAACAATGTATGGAACTACACTACAAAGTCACTTTCAAGTATTCATTCAACACTCTAAAACAGCAATGCACTGATCTGCCCATTTGGGGTAAGTCATCAATCTCTATCTGTAAGAAATCATGCCAGCACAGCTGTTCAGACAATGTTGCTTTATAACATATACACACACATAAGTCTAAAAACTTTACTTAAAAAGATGAATCCCCCCAAAACTGAGTTGACATATATATAAGTCAACATAAGCACTGTACCTTAAATGCAATTTAAAAGGGGGGAGCATCCTTTTCTCTCAGTAGTGGCAAAAGGTAAGAATGTAGTCTGTCCCGGGATAACCTAAAAGAAGTGCCAAACCCTTTCTACTCTCTCTTTGTCTGAAAGAATAAACCTTGCCCAAAGTCATCTAGTTAGGTTCCATCGCGCAGCAGGAATTTGAACCCTGGTCCTAGTCTAACACTCAAACCACTACTACACCATGCTAGTTATTAATTAGTTAATAGTTGAAAATACATAAAGAACTATATTTACACACACACATTTTAATATTTTAATGGGAATTATTGTAGTAACATGAATCTTGTTTATACTTTTTATTTATGGGTTAGAACTGTTTTATTGGTATGATTTTATATTTATTGTTAACCACCTTATGTCCTTATATTGGTAGAAAGCTAGGAAAAAATAAAATAAACAGATGAAAAAAATCCTCTTCAAATGAACCTTTGACAAAGAAAGCTATCTTGTCCCATGGCATCTCTATGTCTGAAAATCAGAGAAAAATGTGGATTTTTAATGAAGTGAAAGGTAAGAAGGACAATGCTTGCAAGATGACAATCAGCAAGCTATTTAAGCATCAACCAGACAATTAAGACCAATACCAAGGATATTCTTGTTTATAACAATGGAAGGGAATCTTATGGGCTACCCAGTTCCTCACTAAATTCACTCATGTAGGAATTCTAGAGCTAAAGCATCCTCAAAAATAGCTCTCCAGTTCGGTGAGGACTGCCAGCAAAAAAGAGTCCCTCATCTTACTGATTTTGTTTCACTAATAAGATAATCAATATCATTCAGCATAAGTATTTTTTTATCTACTGTGGTTGCAGACTACAATAACTAGAAAAAACATGCTAGGACTGCATGGCTCCTTGCTGCCTGGCACAACTAATAGTATCACCCCAGAAATCTAGGAAATCATTCTCATTATCAAACTGCTCTTATCAGTGAGAAGTTTCCCCAAGAGTCAAGTTTGAAAACTTCCCTCCTGCAACTTATGTGGACTAGATTGTCCTGTCCTGGAGGGAGCAGAAAACAAGTATCCATCCTCTCTTTTGTAACAGCTCCATAGCTTCAACAGGACTAGTAAACTATTTAGGCTTAAAGCCTAGATCATTATGGCTAAAGTTTTGTTATTGTGTGTCTTCAAGTCATTTTCTGTGACTGTGGGCCTTCCACGCAGCCAAATAAACTAGAATAACAAGGCGGAATACCCTACAATATTTGTTTTGAATTGAGTGATCTGAGTCCACACTGCTATATATCCCAGTTTAAAGCAGCTGTGTGGAAGAGGCTCGTATCACAGAGGTCAGTGGGCTGAAAGTGTGTGCTTGGCTCAGGATAACCCAGTGGGTTTTCATGGATTCCAACCCTGGTCTCCAGAGTCATAGTCCAAGTTTATGTGTGTGCATGTGTATATATACACAGAGAGATACGTATGTAGACACAGCAGGACCTCAGAAACGTATGTAGACATCAGGACCTCAGAAAAACCATGTGCAGGATTATAAAAGAACCCAATACTAGTCAGAGAAATCCCAAAGAAACTTTGAGTGCATCTAGACCAGTGTTTCCCAAACTTTTGGTCCTCCAGGTTTTTTGGACTTCAACTCCCAGAAATCTCAGCCAGTTTACTGGCTTTTAGGAATTGTGGGAGCTAAAGTCCAAAACACCTGGAGGACCAAAGACTGGCAAACACTGGTCTAAACCGAAGAAGTAATGCAGTCTGACCCCACTTTACCTGCAATGGCTCAATGCTATGGAATCACGGGAGTTGTAGTTTTACAAGGCCTTTGCCCTTTTCTGCCAAAGTGATGCTGCCTCACCAAACTACAACTCCCAGGATTCCATGGCACTGAACCATAGCAGTTAAAGCAGTCTCAAACTACATTAATTCTACAATGTAGATGAGAATAGGAGAAGCATTGCAAGTAGAAGCCCAATATAGAAATCCCTAATTCAAATTTCATGTTTACCACAAATGCACGTGGAGACCTGAGAAAAGCTGCTCTTTTTACCAAAACCCCCTCGGAAATACAGGGCTTAAAACAGAGCAATGCCCATTAAGGGCTATGGAGTGGAAAGAGCAGAAAACCCGACGCAAATATAAGCCTTTCATTGCCCCAAATCAACAATTCGAGTTGCCTTGATCCCTTTTCGACCAATGTACGGAGCCCTCCATCCATTCAGGCGGGAATTCCAGAGCAAACCTCCCATTTGCTGCAGCAAAGCAGCCGAAGTGCCTGGGAGCTCGGGCTCCATAGAAACGGACACAAAGAACGAGGCAAACCGCGTAACCTTTTCACAAGTCTCTATGGAAATGCACCCTAAGTGCGCCCGCTTTGCCTTCCCATCTCTCTTCTTAAACCAGAATAGCCCGGCCTGGCACTCTTTTCTCGGCCGACTTTATGAAGGGGAGACAAGACACAGAGTGGGGCCGAAAGGGGAATGAAAGCGGTTCACTCACTGGAGCATATGAGGGACATGGCGAGCGCCTCCTCGACATGGGCCTTACGGCTGCTTCCGGGCCACTAAAGCGAAGGGGAAGGTTCTGCTTCCGGTCGCCTTTCAACTCGAGCTGCAGCGCGCGCGGGAGAAGGTTGCCCCGGCCGGAAATGGACCCCTCCGACTTTCCTCGTCACGTGCGCTGCCAAAGCCGCAAGGCCTAACGGTCCCACGCGACAACTTCCGGTTTGGGCTAAGCGTACAGCTCCCAGCATGCACCGCGGACACAGAGCGCCTCTTAGAGGGGAGCCGCACGACCGAATTGTAGCGCTTGACACGGGTTTGACTGAAATTGCACAATCCCGTAGAATTCTGGGATTTGAAGTTTGTTGTGGCAAAGAAGCTCTCTGGCAGAGAAGGGTGGATTTCTCACAAAAAGACAAAGCCCAGATACCTATAGTTTTTAGCCAAGGCTGTTATTATCATCCTGCAGAAAGCCAAATAATACACCACAGGGAGCAACCTCTTTGAAGTTAAGCAGGGACAGCCCTGGTTAGTGCTTGGATGGGAGACCGCTGAGGAATACCAGGCACCGTAGGTTATATCTCAGAGGAAAGAACTGGCCAAACCACCAAGAAGAAACCTGCGAAATCTGTGGGGTGGTTTGAAGGCGCGTACATGCATGGATTTAAACATTAGGCCTATGTCTTCAGTTGCCTCTTGAATCTTCCTTCCCCCTTTTTACAGAGGCATTAAGGAAACAAAGGAAGAAGGGTAGAATTTTAGTTGAAATTGTGTTTGGATAATAAGGATTCCATCCAGATGTAGAAGGTAGAAAGAGCTTGTTTGCCCTAACTCGAGGTCTAAAATTACAGCTTCTCAGCATTCTAGACTACAAAACATGAAATTTCTACATGCAGCTGCACTCTATAATTCGCAGTTGTGATCTGAGGAGTCCATACTTCAGGAAATAAAGCCCAACTGCTCATTGGAGGGAAGGATAGTAGAGGCAAAGATGAAGTACTTTGGCCACATCATGAGAAGAAAGGAAAGCATACAGAAGACGATGGTGGGGAAAATGGAAAGAAAAAGGAAGAGGGGCCGACCAAGGGCAAGATGGATGGATGGGATCCTTGAAGTGACTGGATTGACCTTGAAGGAGCTGAGGGTAGTGACGGCCGACAGGGAGCTCTGGCGTGGGCTGGTCCATGAGGTCACGAAGAGTCAGAAACGACAACGAATGAACAACAACAATCAGGAGAGGTCTGCATGGGGAATTGGCAGCTGTCAAGTTGAGTTCGACTTATGGTGGCTGTGATGGCACACCAGGAAGATCTAATGAGAAACCTAAATGTGTCTGGCTATTTTCCCAGTGACCATCGAT